TTCATGTCATAGCATGTCCTTTTGTGTCATAGCATGTCCTTTCATGTCATAGCATGTTCATTCGTGTCATAGCATGTCACTTCATGCAGTGCTTCTTTCACTTAGTGTTCTGCTTTCAAAACCCATGTCTTTCCCTGTTACTGGTGAGAAATTTCCCTTCTACAAATACATAACAATTGGCTTCCTTACTAACAGGGAACGTTTTGCTACCACAAATAGTGATGGTGGGATAGACAATCGTTCTCTAGATTTCACCTTCAAAATCAGAGGGGAATGAGGAGGAGCTGGTGAGAGAACCAGCCACCGAGGGCCTTTTCCCTTGGCAGAGGTATGATAGCACAGCAATAGCTAAGCCTTGGAACATAAAACCCAGTTACAGGTTCACTTCCACCTTCTGTCTAACATGGCAAGACAGAGGGACATGTCGTCATTTCATGGAAGTGGTCATAGGAAGCCAGGAAGTTGGAGTGATTTACCAAAAGCTACTCATGCAGGAATCAAAACCAGAAGTTCCAATCCTTTCTGCATGTATCAGCCTTGGATTTTAGGATGCATAACTCAAAGTGAGAAAAAAACAAAGAAGACTCTTTTAAAGTGAAGGAGGTAGCAAATGGTTGATACTGTGGGGATGGAATGCCTTGTCTTAATACTCAGAGCCAGTTGGCCTTTAGCAATGCAAAGACAGTGAGTGCCTTACTCCTGGAAGCAGCTGGACTGGCTTGCCTTTTCCCAGCAGCTGGCTAAGGACAGTGCCTCCTCCCTGAATGTTTGGGTTGTTCAAGTAGGAGACATGTGGACTTTAGGTGAATCTCTGTAGGTTAGGGTGAGACAGGAGGAGGGTGACCTCCTGCATAGCAGTGAGGTACAGAACTAGATCCTGGAACATGAAAGTCTGAAGGTGCAGGGGAAAGAGCAGGAGAGAAAGCAGAGAGAATGTGAGGAAGGTGACACTGGGAGACTGGCCAGTTTTCAGGTTTGCCTGTGACCAAGAATGTTGTATCTTAACCCTTGAATTTATGTGTTTAACAGACAGATCAGATTGAAAAAAAATGTTAAAAAAAAAAATCAAGACAAGACAGCAAGTATCATAGTTGCGAGAGAGTCCTTCCAAACCCTCATTACCTGTCTAGTACCAACATCCACAGACCAGCGATCCCCAACAGTAGAAGGAAAAAGATCTCAAAGGAGAGAGATGAAACTGCACTGACCAGGGGAGAACAGTTGACTGGGGCTGGACACAGGTGACACTTCTGAAATCAAGACTCTAGGACCAAATGCTTTTCATCTGAGGTTGAGGATGACAGAACAGGTATCATGCCCATGTGACTACCAAAGGTCTTGAGCCACCATGCAGCTCACAGATACCAAACCCTGGATTGCTGCATCATGGTCAGGCCAGCTTTCTTTGATATCCCTTTTATTTATTTAGGCTCATGACTTGCAGCATTCAAGGGCATCTGACTTTACATTATCAGAAAGAAAATCAATTAGATAAGCTCTCTGGCTGTGGTTCAGGCTACTCCCAGGCCCTGCTTTTCTGGGTTATCTCTGTAGTCTTTTCAAAAATCAAATTTGGAGCATGAGGTGGTAGTGAGCACCATGATGAAAACGGGGCCAGCACAGGCCAGGGGTAGAGGGACAATAGCTCTCGGTACTTACCAGGGATCAGGTCCTAAACCACTGCTTCCTAGTTGTTTTCATCCATAAAATCTCTATGGGGGTACTCAGGAATTCATAACCATTTCAGAGACTGAGAAAGCAGGACTGAGAGGTCTGTTAACTTGCCTAAACATAATATCTATGTAGAAAGCCGAAGCTTGAACAAAAGGTCACGTGACTCAAACCTATGACATCATGTCTATCCCATGCTGCCACCCACAGGGGTTCTTTTAAACTTTATTTTTTACCTCT